GGACTTCTTTTAATAACCTAGCTGATAGGAAACCAAACACCAATCCTGCCCAAATCTAATTCAAACCTCAACGCCTGAACCAGGTTTTAACCCCCAAACTGACCAGTTCATTGTCCTAATTTTCCCTAAATATACTCACTTCCACCTTGCCTCACACAAAAATATACCCATGGTCTAAAACTACTCTAAAGGCTCTAACTTTGTCCTTGCAAAGATAGATGTTCAAGAATGCATGAACACATACACAAGGCTGCAGGTTTTGTTTAAACATTGGCGGGGTACACATATGAAACAGGGGGTTTTAAGGCATCAAACACTTACTTTCCTGCATCATGGTGAATTTTATATTCACCAATTTATGGTGTAAATGTCTTTAACTTTGTCAAAAGCAGCAGTCCACTGCTACTTTAATGTTTTTATAGCAAATGCTCTAAATATTGAGGGGGACGTGTCCCCTGCGGCTCTCTGGTAATCTACGCCTATGCACACAAAAACACACATACACACACTGTAGTTTTAGCCATAATCCCTCAGATGATGGATTTATTTCTCACAATATCATACAGATGGGTGTGAGTCAGAGTTCTTCTATGAATGAGATTAGGGTTCATCAGATCTCAGTCATTGAAGTCAGAAGCCAATTCTGTCTTTTTTTTTGGACAGTTTTGTGCTGTTTATTAGCGTCTTTAAATTGACCATTGTTTCACAAAATGCAAAACGAGAGTTTATCTTTAAGACTTTACTTACAGACAGCAGAAACATTAACTGCACATTTAAGCATTAGCTTTAAAATTTCATTCATAAGTGTAGCGGTGTATTGATAGTTGATGAAATGGGTGTACTACTTGGTAGATAGGTAGGTTACAGAGGAAGGAATAGGTATACTGTCATATATATTCCGAAGACTTTTTGGCTGATAGGTGTGTATACTGTAAACGGGCAGAGAAAGAGGTCGGTATACCCTGTATAACTGCATTTACCCCCTACTACACCACTGTGTAAGTGAGGACATACACATAACAAGCATGCCAAGCGTTTGTGTTCCTATATATGTCATTTTTACACCTTTAATACTGTATATAAATCCCAACATCACATTTTTTTGTACTACACCATGCCAACGAAAAAAATGTATAGTATTAATGTAAAATATTGCTCTAACATGAACTGACGTGGTTCTGAGTGTGATGAAGAGGCATGTTCGCATTGTGTCTGGTATCTCAAATCTGGGCTTGCATAAACATGTTTCAATATTCGCACCCTCAAATTCATTTCAGATGCATGTGGAACATATTGAAAAAGCCCTTCATCCAGGCCTGCAGGAGCATGTGGGAGGGAGCTGACGGTACGTCTCAGCGGGACTAAAGGAAATTGAAATAAATCTCGAGATTTACTCTGGCTTCATGCTTCACACTTCATGTTGTTTACGTCGGAGATAAGAGCAGGGTTTTAGCCAGGCTGAATTTAAAAGCAAATTTTGTCCTGGTAAATAATTTGAATGTGTGGATTTTTTGTTATAAGTGAATTCCAGCTGCACGACAGTGTTAACAAAGATACAGGATTTCTACAATTGTCCCTTTAATGAACTTTTACTGACCTTTGATTCACTCCTTAATCCTCCTAATTCTAAATCCTTGAAGAAAACCCAACAAAGACAAAGCTCTGAACCAAATCCTTTCACATATACACAACCAAATATAGAAAGTGTAGAAGAACCCAAAAAGCAAATATATGATTCTGATATTATGATTCTGATTTAAACTTGTGATATTCTGGAGACATGAGTTCAAGATGCAGCTGGGGGGAGGAGTGTGTCTGGTTTGGGGACCTCAGAATTGCATCCTTGCTTTTTGCAGATGATATGGTGCTTTTGGCTCCATCACACCGTGACCTCCAGCGTGCACTGGGGCGGTTTGCAGCCGAGTGTGAAGCGGTTGGGATGAGAGTCAGTACCTTGATGTCTGTCTTGATGCCCCCTCTGGGTTTGGAGAGTTAGTGCCTCAAGCAAAAGAGTTCAAGTATCTTGGGGTCTTGTTCATGAGTGAGGGTAAAATGGAGTATGAGATGGACAGACAGCTTGCCTAATGTCTGCAGTGATGCAAGTGCTGCGCTGGACTGTTGTGGTGAAGAAGGCAAAGCTCTCAATTTCCCTGTCCGTCTATGTCAAAACTCTCATGAGCTTTAGGTAGTGACTGAAAGAATGAGGTTGTGGATACAGGTGACTAAAATAAGTTTCCCCCTAGGGTGGCTGGGCTCAGCCTTAGAGATAGGGTGAGGAGCTTAGACATCCGGAGGGAGCTCAGAGTAGAGCCACTGCCCCTTCATGTCTAAAGGGGTCAGTTGAGGTTCAGGCATCTGATCAAGATGTGTCCTGGATGCCTCCAGTTAGAGGTTTTCCAGACACGTCCAACTGATAGAAGGCTTGGGGTCAGACCCAGAACACGTTGGAGGGATTACATGTCTCATTCTTCCTAAAGGGCTTAGGTTCTACCCAGAATGACCCTGTCTTGAATAAAGAGTTCTTTGAGGGTGTAAGACTTTTCCATTCAGAGCTCTATTCATCCGAAGAACCCCTTTTCTTCAGCTTAGATTGTTTTGATCCTCTTTCATTTGACTCTTCATGCTTCTCATTTTTCAGTTTATACAGCAGTTGACAGGTGAATAATTAACTGTGATCTCATTAACCATCAAATAAATGATGGGCCTAATTTCCAAGACTCATGCTAATTAACTCTCTGATTCATTTAGGCGGCCACTGGTTAACTGTGTAATTAATTGTCTTGGATCTGCCAACATCATGAGGCGTTTTCTGTCTTATCTCACGCTTAACCTCAAAAAAGTTGTATTTGTCACATGCATATATATATGTACATCAGCAATACATACGTGTATCAGGTGTGTTTTGAGTAGATAATTAAAGATCTCTGATCAGCTGAAATCTGGTGCAGGTGTTACTGTATGTAAACAAAAGGCTAATAAGGCGGTGACAGTTCGCTGAGTTTCAATTAGCCTAGAACGACTGGTTGTGACACCCGTCCAAATCTCATTTCCGTGCTGCTCAGAGTTCTGCCAGCAGATAGCATGTGATGTGTGTGTGTGTGTGTGTGTGTGTGTGTGTGTGTGTGTGTGTGTGTGAGAGAGAGAGAAAGTGACGAAAAGGAGAGATGCATTCAAAGAGCTACAGAGTGAGAAAAAGTCACATTGGTCTGTTAATGGTTGATAACGTGCTTTGTTAAATCTTCACCTCACCTTGATCTGATGTGAAACATGTTGACACAGGGTTACTGCCGGCGATAGTGTGCCAGGAATACTATGGGATTTTTAAAGACGTCTTGCTGTCAGACAGTTTTTAATTTCGGCACCTTTTATCCTGTCTGTTTTGAGTGCCAGTCATTGAGTCACCGGGGCTGAGTTCAGCCTCCAAAAAAAGAGGCAAAATGATTAAACAGAAACGGTTGTGCGTTGAACTCCCTGTGTGTCACAAAAGCACACTGGCTTTTAAGATGATGGGGTTTAATTCAATTCAATTCAACTTAATTCAATTCAATTCAATTCAATTCAATTCAGTTCAATTCAAAGAGGCTTTACTGTCATGAGAAACATAAGTTAACATTGCCGAAGCAAGCATCAAATAATAACAAAAAATATACATACAATAAGTAAAGATCTACTATAATTTAGTTTGTATACACGTCGCTGTTGGCATGGTTACGCATCAGTTTTGCTGAAAAATCCTGTTACATTCAGGCAGATGTGTGGGTCTGTAGGGGTTGGTTAGGGCAAATCGAATTCCCCTCCCCATGAAAATTGGTTAGAGTGGACACAAAGTCAGACTGAAGATGGAAAGAAGATGATGGTCTCTTAACGAGTTGACAGTTCTGTCTGATATCAGCAAATGTTGCTGCCGATTAGGTAACACCGCTGACACATCCACCAAATGTGAGAAAAGGTACCTCAAATCCTGTTGCACACTGTTTTTACACCGTTTCGAGGAAACATGTTGTTTATCCCGGAAACCATGGCAAAACAGTGGACACCGTTTTCAGATTGAAGGTGCCCCTGTTGTTCCAGCCAGTTCCAATCACCTGATCCACACCTATCTGCACACCTGCTCCACATCCCCTCATGACATTCCTGGTTTACTGGATACAACACCATGCTGCCTGAGGAAGAGTGCCAGGTAGCTGCCAGTCCGAGCTTTCTTGCTATGCTATTAGATGCCTGAATTTGTCTCATATTAGCACATTGAGTTTTCTGCATTCTCCTTTGTCCTTTGTGTTTCTGCTGAAAGATTTGGGAAGGCTTTTTCCATTGCTTCTGTGGGCTCCAATATATGAACCAGCCCATTTCCACATAAACCATGCCAGATCATAGTGTTTCAGTCCTAGAAATGTCTATGGTTTCAGTCATTTTGCCTGCAGTTTCTGACCTCTGGATGCCCTTCGGACAGTAAGCCTTCTAGCGTATGCCCCTTTGGACGTGGTAACTTGTTTTTGCTGGCTGTGATCCATTTGGTGCTGTGGCTTGCTGCTGTGTTTTGGCGAGGGCGTTGAGTCCTGGTCAAATGAGGTGTTTGCAGCATATAAGGCAGTGGGTATGATGTTGAATCTCCATCAGCTCATAATCAAACAGCAGCAAGTGACAGAGATGCTGCGATCAACCTTAATTTATCAGAGCTTGTGAGTTGGCAATGACACCAGAGAACCTCTTCTACTTGGATTCAACCATGATAAGCTGTGTGTGAAAACACTGTTTATATTATTTATGATACTGTTGGCACATTTAATATTTTGATTACCACTGAGTGCTGTACAGAGCTGACTGTCACTGGGTTCTGGGATTAGTCCTAAAGTCAGGAAATATCAGGGAATATGACACTTTACACAAAGTTTAACCAATATATATATATATTGTATATGTTTGAAAAAAACATTACAGAAGCCTTGTTCTATAAGACAACTTTTAACAAGTAATTTCTCTGATGTGTGTCTTTGTCTCAGGTGGTGCGTGACCAGATCACCCACTGCACCATGAAGCTACGTCAGACCACCGGTATGATGGAGTACTGCCTGGAAGTCCTCAAGGAGAACGATCCAAGTGGATTCCTCCAGGTACTGACACACTGTTTTCATGTGTGTGAGAGATTGTATGAGTGTAGGAACACGTCATGTGCATGTCTCCTAATGTAGGTCGTCACAAAGCTACTGAATGAAGAAACAACTATCAAATACAGTTTCACTAATTTTGGTGAATATCTCCTTTTAATTGAAAGTTGCAAGCTCTCATATCTTATGTTACAGAGTGCAAAACTTACCTGCCTTGTCCTAAAAAACAACAACCTTGCTTTAAGCTGTGTGTCAGTGTGTTTATGAGATAGTCCAAAGGGTTAAACACTTTGCACAACACCACTTTTCTCACATATAATCCTTCCGTTCGTATGAAAGATTCAAATTAATAATAAATATATAGCACCTTTCTAAGCACAAAGTGCTTTACAACAGTGGTTCCCAACTGGTGGGTTGCGAGTCCATTCTGAATGGACCACAAGTAACTCGCAAACATGCCAAGTTTGAATTAAATACCACACTTTATTTTAAAGCGTTGTTTCCTGCTGTAGAGTTAGTGACTAATGGACAGCTACTTGACAGAGACAGCAAACTATCTCAACAACAGGGCCAAACACATGTATGACACTGACTATATCAAACTTTGTGGTCGTGTAGAACTAATAACTGAGGACAAATCTGGACCTCATGGCTGGACCAGTTGGGAACCACTGCTCTACAACAAAAACAAAGCACATTTAAAAACATAGGAAATGAAAAAACTAAGAGCCAGAAACTAGGCACATACTAAAACACAGAGTAAGATGAACTAAAATGTCATAAAACATGAGTGAAATCACCGAAAAGCCGAAAAGCAATCCACCCTTTGTCAAGCCCTGCCCATGGTCCCACCCCCCTTGGTTACTGTTGCTGGGTTTGACAAGCCAAACCTTGCGGGGGTTCATTCCCACAGGAAACAATGGAAAATACCGGGAGATTTAACTTTCTCGTAATTCGAACTGAATCAATCATTCTGTCCAAAACGTGGTGTCAGTGATAGAGAACAAAAGTGGCTACATTTGACTGAACAGGCATTACATGACATATCCGAAACTTGTGAAAATTGTTGTTTTGTCCTGATGTCTGACGGTAGCTATGGCCACTAATGTGAGCTGCCGGTTGCTAGCTCTCTTGCCTGTGTCGTCTCCGCAGACTTACCCCTCGAGTCTGTCAGTGACTGGAATAAAAACTACTCCGAGAATACATTCTGGATATCTCGAGTCACTGTTGCAGACGCCCCAGGCACACCTTTTAACATGTTAATAATAATAATAATATAACACTGATTTATCCGAGTTTGCCAGCTAGAAAGCTCTTTGTTTCACCGTGATGCCATTAGCAACGAGCCTGGGAGAACACAGCCTGGGGCGGTGTTTGACGAACCCCAGTAAGTTAGCAACTGTTGCTATGGGGAAGAGCACTCTGGTTGGTGGGTCAGCAGACCAATCAGAAGGCCAACAAAGGCTCAATTCTAAAAAAAAGTGTTTTTTCTTAAGAGACAGAGTTTGTAGTCCTGATCTCCTCAGGCAGCTCATTCTAAAGTCTAGAGGCAAATTAATGGCTATTAAAGGGTAAGTTTGGGATTGTTTTTATCTGTTTATTATTAACAGTGTCCCTGACCCTACTTAAACCAAATCTATGAATTATATAAAAGAAAATTAAGTGGGGTTCTATGAAGCAGAGGCATTAGTGATATCATGCTGTGGCCAAATGAATTCATTCCTGGTTTAAGTCTCTTTAGGGGGGTTTGCTGATCATCATAAAAACATAAACTCCTCAAGTTAAAACTTAACTTTCACAGGTCATATAAGACAAACATAGTATGGGGTCTTACTGGAAATAAAAAATCAACTTTTTCTTCAGTATTTACAACCAAAATTGTAACTGTGAAAGTTGAAAGAAAGACGGAAGCATGAAACTTAAGAGGAGAAATCAGCTTTGCAGGGAGCCTCTGATGTGTGTGAAGCCTGCACAGCTAGAACGCTGCACAGTCAGAGGAGGAAGACACAGAATAACAACACACACGCCTGGAACACACACACACACACACACACACACACACACACACCAACACAGGATGCATCCGATTTACTAATAGTGCAGCTGATCTATTTTTAATTGACCCGACATATTTAGTTATCAGCCGGCCCAGATGCTCAGCGGCTGATCGATAGTTATTGATCTGTGTATTGTGAGGTCAAATTGAGAAAGGTCAGATGTGACATGTGCACCTGCTTAGAAGAAAGATGTAAGAGTGCTGCTCTCATGTTCTGTGTGGGGTCACACAGGACACTTAACATTGTTTTATCAGCCTGATAACATCATGACACACAATTGCTTTATTCATTACTTATAAACATGATTCTAAACTGATGATATGTTTCGGTACAAAAATGTCACATTACTTCTCTTTGGAGTCTTGGCTGTAAAAATATGGTCAAATACAAAAGATTTTTATATGTGATTGATATTGACGTGACTTTTTATGCCGCAATTCCTCCTCCAAATGCCAAAAATCTATTTGGATTTCCCTTTTTTATACCTCCCTGGTGTCTAATTGACCCAACATAATTAACTTGATTATGCACAATAACATACTGTAAATTTCTTTGTCAGTGGATTTCTTCTTGGCAAACAAAAGGAATATACAATGTATTTGTTCATGGAGAGTTAACCATTTGAAACCTGAGCAAATCGGCATGTTTTTTTTTTTTTAAACATGGGAAGAAGGCAATTAGCAATATTAGAGGAAATAACTAAAAAAATTGGCAAGAAATTTGTAAAAATAGACAATAAAAAAGAAATAAATAAAGTTGAAACAAAAAACAAACAAACAAAGAAATCACCCGGAAAGAGTGTTTTGAAGTTATAATCATTCTGTAACATAATTTTAAAATGTAATAATAATATTTATAAATAAAGTTTTTCCCTAGTCCCCCCCCCCCCCCCCCCCCCTTTTTAAAAATAATTTTCTAAATTTTTTTTTTTTTTTGCAATTTGTAGGACATTTCTTGCCAAGTTGCTCATTGCCTTTTCTCACCTATGTTTTTTAAATAAATTGCACCTATTTTCTCAGGATTCAAAGGTTTAAATACTGAAAGGCATCTGAAAACAGCCCAAGAAAAGTGATGTCACTCCAGGTTTCAAAGGGTTAATATAACATCTGCAAGCCCAGGTTGTGGCATCATGAAGGTCACCACTTAAAGGCTTTGACACATATTGGATTTTAATAAGATTATAAGGAGAGTAAAAAGTATTATTATTGTTATATATTATAATTATTACTTGTGCACAAACAGCAGTGGTGTGTGGGGGACCCCAAACAGCCAGTATCAAGGGTTAAAGTTCACATTAATTAAATGATTTAATAATTTCCCCAGAATCAAATAAGTCTTTACTCTTTCTGTGAAGCAGTTTCAACTGTTTGATGACTCATTCTGCACTCAGGGATTTTTGCAAAAGTTCATGCACAATATGGAAAGAGATAGGAGAGAAGTGTGTTGATCAGTGGGCAAAACATTTGCTTTTATTTCCAATACAATGTGGTGGAGGTCCAATCAAATGATTTAATGTAAATCCCTCTTCTGTTCACTGCTCAAATATTCTGTTTCACTGGGAAATACATCACAGCACAGAAGCTAAAGACGCTCCAACATCTGTTTCATAGGGAAGTGGCAAAGAAGGTAAAACCCAAAGATATACAGGAAGTAAAAACATTAACCATATGGTTTTATAAACGTATCCAACCCCTGAGCTATGCTTGTTTCAATTTTTATTGAATGATAGGAAATGAAATTTGAGCATCTCTGCTTCAGTTATAAATCATAGCTCTTCCTGGAGAGAGATAGCAAGAGAGAAATAGAGTAAGGTGAAGGAAAAGATGAAATAAAGATCAAAGACGCTCCTGAGGGACACGCACGTGCACGTACGCACACACACACACACACACACACATCCCCTCGCTTCCATTTCATCTGAATATTTTATATCGTATTGATTATGTGCTTCTTTATGGGTTGCCAACGACTAAATCCTAACTCTTAAGGAATCAAAGGTGGATACCAGTGTTAGTCAGTTCAGGAACATCTGTAAATATAATGCAGTTTGACCTGATCTGAAGTGAAGCTAAATGAAGCAGTTTCTAATGCTTGAGGATGAATTCCCAAATACTAGACTCGTTTTTTTCAAGAAGATGGCATCCCATTTTCTTGCAGCTGAATGTAGTTTAATGTAATGCATTCACTTAGTTTTTATTTTCCTGAGGCAGTGAAGCTCTCACCAGCAGAAGAGAGGTCTAATTCTTAGCCTTAAATATTTGAACTGCACTAATGCCTGCCTCATTTCACTTGTCAGACACAATATAATAAAGCCAGGCTAATGGAACTGATCCCTGCACAGAGGAGCTGCTCTGTATGCAGGGAAGGCATCACAGCCATGCAGGCGTATTTAAATGTAGATATTGAATGCAGGTGTTGTAATTTCCTGTTTCTTTGACTGTCTTTTTTTTTTTTTTGTTTACATTTATCTCCCATCACTGTGTACATGTGTGTTTTAATAGCTGCGCACCTTAACTTGTGTATATGTTTTGCAGATCTCAGATGCTCTGATCAAGCGGGTGACATCGTCTCAGGATCAGTGGGTGAAAGGGGCCCTGGAGCCAAAAGTAGGACCCGAGTTTGACCTCACCCTCAACACCGACTCGCTGCTCCAGACCATCCTGCAGCTGGACTTCTGCCAGGGCAAAGGTGAACACACAGGGGCACACACTTTCCATTCAGCTTGCAGGTTTAATTCCTATTTTAGGAGTCATTTTACAGCTACATTTGAGTTTTGACTATATGGATCCCTCAGAGCAGTGGTTCCCAGCTGGTCCAGCCACGGGGTCCAGATTTCTCTTTAGTCATAAGTTCAAGGTCCACACAGTTTAATACATTCAGTGTCATACTTGTGTTTGGCCATGTCATCGAACTAGTTTGCTGTCTCTGTCCAGTAGCTGTCCATTAGTCACTCACTCTACAGCAGAAAATGGCACTTCAAAATAAAAGGTGTGCCCCAGAAATTCACCATACTTCAAAATAAAGTATGTTTTTTTACAAACATGACATGTTCGCGAGTCACTTGTGATTTATTTAGAGTAGACCCGAGACCCACCAGTTGGGAACCACTGCCTTAGACTGTATATTATTTAATGTGTTTCTGTGCTAAATATGCCATTTATTCTAATTTCAATTATTTTTTTCCTTATATACCTAATTGTATTCTTAACTTATCAACATTTGTTGTATTTAATGGAGTGCTCCATCAGTTTAGTATTGACAGTATTGATTTGGACTTTAATTACATGCAACCAAATTGGAAAAACAGAGTCTGAAATATCATAAATTTCTTACCAAGAGTAATTGTCAACAAACACTGACTGACAGTTACATTTAAATAAAATCCCAAATTAACGCTAATACAATGGATTCTGTTCATTTTAAAGGAGCTGTATACAGTTTGTATCTGGTTAGATTAGGCTAATTAAACTATGTGATTAAAAGGTTAGCAGATGGGGTAACCATCTTGGAATATTGCTTTAACACCAACTATGTATAAGAATAACAGGAGGTTTTTCCTGTATTTCTCATTCTGTCTAAATTGCCCCTATTTTATGAAAGCACACAGATTATTCTCTCAGACTTATAAAAGCTTGCTCTTGAACCACAGAAGACTGTTTAAAGCCGTTTTCAAGTAGTACCCCTGATTACTCCTCATGATGAGTAAACTGAACTCCAAGCGTAAAGTCAGTTGAGTACCCCTCTAAACGAGCTCTATAAATAAATCAACTTGACATGCCCCTTGATGAAATAAGTGATAACCAATAAACAGCATTTAGTCACCCTCTACTTTGCTTCTGTGCTTTCTTCAAGATGTACAACAATGTACACAACTCATTAACTATTCTTCCACTGTTGCTGCCGAGCAGCCACTTGACATGCATGAGTAAACACAGTGTCCTTTACATTACCTCTGCTGCAGTCTCAGAGATTACCCAGATGTATTGTTAATGTACATTAAATATGTAATCAGCACGATGCATATTTTATGCTGGCATGGGTTAGCAACCCATGGTAGCAGTGGTGAGGCCTAGCAGCCTTATTACAACCAAAATTAGCTACAGCCAACATAGGGAAAATACCCCAAGAGTCAGCGAGAGCAGGGGTGGAAGATGACTCACAGGTGGATTACACGGTAACAGACATTGGAAAGGACACGACTATGACTTGGACCGGTGACTCAGTGAAGGATAGGGGCACGGACCTATCCACCAGTGCTAGAATTAGCAGCACTCAGGGCAAGGTGAGCGCATCTGTAGAGGGCAAAAGTAGCATAGTTGAGAACAAGATGCTTCAGGTTTGTCCTTGCGGCTGGCAGAAAGTAACATCAGTGAAAGGCCTCAGAACTCATCAGGGAAAGAAGAAGTGTGTGGCAAAGAAAGGGCAGAGTAGCCGCATTGATCAGTACTTCCTAAGAAGTCAGTCGAGTCAGTCGGATGAAGTCCAGCGGCAGGTAGAAAACCACAGTTCGCAGGATATCAGTAACGCTGCCACTGAGGAGGAGGGGGTAGTAAGAGAGGATGCAGGTGACACTGAGGCCAGTATGCTAGCCAGAGAAAGAACTATGGAGCAAAAGGTTAGAGTTAGATGGCCTAGAGCAAATGACAGTAAAGAATGGGAGATAGTTAATAGAGACTTGTCAGTAATCTTGAGTAGGCTTAGAGGAAATGCAATACAAAGGTTAGAAAAGATGGGAGATATAATGTATTCATATGGTGTAGAGAGGTTTGGGGTGCATGAGAGAAAGAGGAGTGAGAGGGTACAGTCAGGTAAGTCTAGGCGGCAGAGAGAAATAGAGAAGTTAGTCAAGGAAAGGAGACAGTTAAGAAAGCAGTGGAAAAAGGCTACAGAAGAAGAAAGGGAGGGAATTAAGGTGTTGCAAGAGGAGTTGAGAAGCAGGCTAGCAGTTCTTAGAAGGGCGGAGCATCTCAGGAAAAAGAGGAGGAAGAAGGAATATGCTAGGACAGGTTTTTTCAGGGACCCTTTTAAGTTTGTTAAAGGATTGTTCAGCCAGGAAAAGGGAGGGCAGCTTAAAGCAGAAAGGTTAGAGGTTGAAGAATATTTGAGAAACACGTATTCAGATTTGGAGAAGAATAGGATAGTAGGTTTCCCACCTGATATCCCTCCATTAGGAGGGATAGAGCATGAGATGGATGTCAGGCCACCTAGGTGGAAGGAAGTTCAGGAGGTGGTCAGGCGTGCAAAGGCTTCTTCGGCCCCAGGGCCTAATGGAGTCCCCTACCGGGTTTATAAAAGTGCGCCTGATACCCTTAAATTTTTGTGGAAACAGCTAAGAATAGTTTGGGAAAAACAAATTATACCAAGAGCATGGCGTAGGGCAGGGGGTGTCCTCATTCCTAAGGAGAAGGAGTCTGTGGACCTTAGCCAGTTCCGGATGATTTCTCTCTTGAATGTGGAGGGGAAGATTTTCTTTAGTGTAGTAGCGCAGAGACTAGCTAGCTACTTAGAAAGGAATAGCTTAATAGATACCATGGTGCAGAAGGCAGGAATACCAGGTTTTTCAGGGTGTTTAGAGCATACTAGCATGATCTGGCACCAGATTCAGGCAGCGAAGATTAACAAAAGGGACCTACATGTAATATTTTTAGATCTTGCAAATGCGTTTGGTTCAGTACCGCACAGCCTCATTTGGAGTGCGTTTGACTACTTCAGAGTGCCACAGGTAGTTGTTAACTTAGTGAAAGCATATTTTCAGGATATTAGGTTGTGTCTAAGTACAGCAGGTTTCACAACAGGTTGGCAGAGGCTAGAAATAGGCATCATGGCAGGGTGTACAATTTCTCCATTAGCATTTACTATGGCAATGGAAGTAATCATCAGGGCTTCTAAGTGGGTGGTAGGTGGGGAGAGACGGCAGAATGGGTTGCATCTTCCACCAGTTAGGGCTTACATGGATGACATGACACTGGTGACCACAACAATGCCATGTACAAAGAGGCTACTAGAGAAGGTAAATAAGAACCTCAAGTGGGCCAGCATGAAAATCAAGCCTAGTAAATCTAGAAGCATCTCGATATGTAGAGGGAAGTTAAGTGATAGGAAGTTTGTCATAGATGATGAGGACATCCCAACAATTAGGGAAAAGTCAGTAAAGAGCTTAGGTAGGTGGTACAATGTAGAGTTGAATGATAAGGAACAGGTGGTGAAATTTAGAAAAGATGTGGCTGAAGGATTGGATAGAATAGATAAATCAGAACTTCCAGGAAAGTTGAAGTTGTGGTGTTTGCAATTTGGGCTATATCCTAGGTTAATGTGGCCATTGTCAGTTTATGAAATTCCAATATCTGTTGTGGAGAGAATGGAAAGGTCGGTTAGCTCCTACATTAGGAAGTGGTTGGGCGCTCCTAGGTGCCTAAGTAGTGTTGCATTGTATGGAAAAGGGATACTTCAGCTGCCAGTATCTAGTTTAACAGAGGAATTTAAATGTACCAAGGTCAGGACAGAGCTCTTGTTATCTGGGAGTAAGGACGTGGTAGTTAGGAGTGTGGTTCCAAATCCAACCAAGGGGAGGAAGTGGAACCCAAGATCGGCAGTTCAGGAGGCAGAGGCAGCTCTTAGACATGCAGAGATTGTAGGTAATGTTCAGTTTGGCCGGGGAGGCCTGGGGCTTGGCTCAGGTAAACCGGTATGGAATACAGCAGGCCTCAAAGATAAAAGAAAGCTGGTTGTAGAACAGATACGCAGACAGGAAGAGATAGTAAGGGGTGCAAAGGTAGTGGCCCAGGCTAAACAGGGACAGTGGTTGAATTGGGAAAGTGTAGAGAAGAGGAAGCTTAGTTGGAGGGACCTGTGGAGTATGGAGGAGAATCGTATTAGATTCCTGGTAGGGGCTACATACGATGTGTTACCAACCCCCCAGAACCTAAAACTGTGGGTAAATGAGGACCCATCATGCCCATTGTGTTCACGTACCGCAACTTTAAAGCATATTTTGTCAGGCTGTAAAGTTAGCTTGTCACAAGGCCGATATACATGGCGACATAATCAGGTGTTGAAATGTTTAGCTGCAGGCATCGAAGGGAAACGAAGACAGGTGAATTCAGAAGGTGTTAAGGATAGGGGCTTAGTAATTCAGTTTGTCCGTGAGGGAGAGAAATACAGAAGGGATAAGTTAGTGAGGAGGCAAGGGTGTGGCCGCCTAGAAGGTGCTTGTGATTGGGAAATGCAAGTAGATTTAGGGGGAAAGCTTGTTGTTCCTCAGGAAATAGTCTGTACCAGGCAGAGGCCTGACTTAGTGTTGTGGTCAGTGAGTCAACAGATAGTTTATTTCATTGAGCTGACAGTTCCTTGGGAAGACTCAGTGGAAGAAGCCTATGAAAGAAAAAAGCTTAGATATGCAGACTTAGGAGCAGAAGCTGAGCAGCGAGGATGGAAGACTAGGATTTGTCCAGTGGAAGTGGGGTGTAGGGGATTCATAGCAAGATCAACTGTCTCACTCCTGGGGGAACTCGGAGTGCGGGGACAGAATTTGAGGAAGACAGTGAGGGAAATGTCAGATGAAGCAATTAAATGCAGCCAGTTTATCTATTACAGAAGAAATAATGTCAGCTGGGGGCCAGCAGGGGGAACTACTAAGCAGGGCACATAACTCCTTGAGATCAGGTGGAGAGATCCACTTCCTGTCAGGAGAAATCCAGGAAGAGGAAGTATTTAAGTGTGGGAGTGGCCTATTGGAATCCATTTTGTTTGAGGCCATGCGGCAAGGTGAGTGTGCTTGCTGATCCTGTAAGTCCAGTTAGCTCCTTTAACTTTAGCTTATATTGTAGTTATGCTATGTAGTGTGTGAAATAGAGTATGGTGAATGTGACAGGAAAGCTAGTATCAGCATTGCTTCTGCCTGGAGCTCGCATGTATGGAGCCTGGGTTTGGTTGAAGATGGCAGTGCTGTTTGGGCTGAGAAAGCCATGTGTAAGTAAGAAGGAAATCCAGGAAGAGGAAGGTTATTTAAGTGTGGGAGTGGCCTATTTGAATCCATTTTGTTTGAGACCATGCTGCAAAGTGAGTGTGTTTGCTGATCCTGTGAGTTCATTTATCTCCTTTAACTTTAGCTTACATTGTAGTTATGCTATGTAGCGTGTGAAATAGAGTATGGTGAATGTGCTAGTAAAGGTAGTATCAGCATTGCTTCTGCCTGGAGCTCGCATAAACGGAGCCTGGGCTTGGTTGAAGTTGGCAGTGCTGTTTGGGCTGAGATCACTGTCCAGCCTCCTGGAGGTGTCATTGTTGTGAGGGCTCGTCCTGGGGAGGTAGACTGTACAGCCTAACCCGGCGGGGGAGTGTGATAGCCTAACAAGGCTTCCTTCCCTGGGTCTACCTCCTCTGTGGTAGTATAGGTAAGGTAAAGGAGGTTGTTCGGTTAGTGCGGGGAGCAGTGAGACCTGGCATTAGGGGAGTGTCTCTGGGACGCCAGAGATCACTGTCTAGCCTCCTGGAGGTGTCGTGGGACTAACTAGACGAAACACTGGTGAAAGGAGGTTCCCACCCGATGACCCCAAAGACATGTTAGTTATCACTGCTCACGGGTCTGTATAGTTAAGCCTTGCCATAATAGCTTATCGTAGGGCTTAGGAGGATTATTCACTGAGCGCTGATCCCTTTTTTTTTTTTTTTTTTTATTAGAGCACAAACTTCTTGTGTTTATTTGAATTCATACTGCTCCACTGAGGCATGTAAAGCTCAGGTGTTTTGTTTTGCAGACGTTGATTCAACCTTAGTAAAACACTAAGTAATACGGCATTTATTCAAAATGCATTGTGATCTGTTACCAATATTATGAAGTCATGCCTCTGATTGAGTTGTACTTGAAGAGTTATTTCTCTAATTTGAGCTCCAGTTAAGCGAAACCAAATATGCATGGATGTAGAAGATTTGGTCATCCCCTCTCTGTTCAATAAGGCCAGTGGCACAGAATCCATGTTTCGTCACATTCAAATCCCACTGATCTTACAGAACAAAGCCATAGAGTTCAGAGGTACACCATTTGATCCTATGTCTTTGAATTTCAGTCTTTGACATCCTGAGCTGCGACAAAGTGTCAGAAGTGCTCTGGTTCACAGCCTGAAATTAGTCACCATCATTACTACATATCAACATTCATCTGAAATGAATGAAGTGCTCTGGATTATATTTTTTTCAGTAAATCTTGATGCCCTCTGTAAATCAGCAACTACTTCTAAACTCAACTAATTGGTACCAGATTATATAGTTCTCACCAGGAAACTTCCAAAGAAATTATTAGAAAATGACAGACTCATGAAATAAACATTACCCTTTCCCAACATAAAGTTCTAAATTACAAAGCATATATTTATTTGGGTAGCTGGCCTATAGTCAAATTTAGGTTTGATGAGATATACCAGAAGTAGCTAAAACATATCCATTATGTTTTAGCTTTTATGTTAAACCCCTCAAATTCCTAGACGTCAGTGTCCCCAATGGCGGCTACAACCCTGTTTAAATTTTTGTTTAGAAATATTGCTTTGTATTCTATTTTTGCTGTGTACACTTTATCACATAAACCCTAGGATACATCACAAAACAGCTAAAAAACATTTTATTCCAACCGCAAAAAACAAAGTTTTAGGTTTTAGTTTTCTCTATTTAATTTGTTATCACAAGGAGTTGTAATAGTAGTATTTCTTGTAATATTTTATGCTTCACACTTGGTATGAAAAAAGGGTAAAGATAAGGATTTGTCATATAAACATCTTACTTTTGAATCTCAGCAATTAACTTTGTCAGTAAAATGTAGAATATGAACTCTTAAAAAAGGGGTGTCCAACATGTCCAACCAAAAGAATACCCTGAAATTCCAACTTATCAAAACACAAATTCTGTTTCTGGGGTGAAACAATATTTTTTAAGGATTTATATGTATGAAAAACAGTGATTTATAAAATATTTCAATCGGCTCTCATTTTTTTAAACTTCTAAACTTGCCCTGTGCCAAGAAAGCACCGTTGTCCCAGACATGAATTTACAGCTACGGATGGTCAAAAAATCTGTTAGAAGCCTTCAAATGCCTTCAAATTTAAAACTAACAACATGCACTGTTAACATTAGTGTAAAAATGTACTGCTTCAATCATCTTTGTTTTAAAAATGTTTTTAGTGAAAATGTTAGCCCTTTAAAGATCTCAGAATTTGTCAACTCTCTTTTTTACAAGAATATAATTTAATTATGCATAAAAGGACTCACTTCCTGGTTACCAAAAAGGCAGGAATATTGCTAAAGTACTGGTAAGCTATATATATATATTTTAAAATAAATAATTGCGGTCTTTTCTAAACAATAGATATTTGGGTCAAAGCCTCTGTTGTGTCCTAATATGCAGATGACACTACATTTTATATTGATGAAACTTTGTATGAAGTTTACGTTACCTTTCAAAATAACTTATCAGTAAGAGCTTTTCTGATATAAGAAGTGAATTATGATGACCTGCAAGTCGAAAATATATGATGAAAACCACAATGTTACATACCAGTTCACTGTGTATGTTCAGTACATGTCATGACGTTGGTGTCTTCTCTTTATTTTGGTGATAGAGCACACGCTCTTCAAAGCATCAGTGAATACAGACCTCTTGTCATGTTTGTAATGCAATCTCTCCACTGGTCTCACTGTCAGTTACAGCTGCTTTATATGCCATCTTCTGTTTAAGTGCTCTTGTATTAAAACATCCAAACCAACATCATATTTCCAGATGTGCAGGAGAGTCCGTTAATGAAACAAATGCAGGCAGCAGACAGTGGTGAGGCTGAGATGGAGACAGAAGGCCCCGGAGGTACTTTTCACAGTGAACCTCTGTTTTCCTCTCTTGAATTTATATCTGTTACTCCTTCCTCGTCCCTCAGCCCCTGACTCTGGTTGGAAACTCACTGGTCTTTTTGTCCCCCACAGCGTCTACCTGGTCTCCTTCCTCTGCATGGTTTTTGTTTTCCAGCTCCTCTCCAATGAATGGCACGTCTGCAAAATAGTGCTGCCTTCACTGGAACACTGGAACACAAAGTTTCCAAAAATTACAGAAACTTACAGAAATTTGTTGCCTGAAGTACTTCTCTGTCTCTCATGCTAGTCTTTGCTTCTTCTTTTTTTATCTAAATTATATATATTCATTGAGCTTTTTGAGCTTCATTGACCTTTTTGAGGGAATGTGTATTAAACATCTTCCCATATTTTTTTTTCCCTGACTGGGAAAATAGTTATAAATTAAATTGCAGAATGTTTCTTGTTATATAAAATAAATAATTAAGCTAAATAATGCAATGCATTTTTAGTGAAATATGTAAAAAAAATTGGATTTGAAACAGCGTAAACAAAACAAAAACATTCTGCTGAAAAGAGAATTAATACAAATTATGAAAATAGCATCTAAATATAATATATTTTACTGTATATAAATATATAATTAATTCAAATTAAGAATATTTGTTATCAATATTATATCAAATCATTATCTTGTGGCTGAGCATGAATCAAAGAACTACTTTGTCTACAAATGCTGTGAAGAATATTGAATTTAAATATTAATATTAATAAAGTGAGTCTATACACTGTTTACTGCATCACTCCTACAATGTTATTCCCTCTGTCATGACTGCTGCCTTTCCTCTGTGTCTTCACCACGACTTATTTTGGTCTAGAAAGATCAGATAACAAAGAAACGATGAATGAAACAGATTTCATCACCCTGAGATCTCCACTCGTATGTGGTTATTTTTACCCTGTTTTTGTTGTTAGTGTTTGTTTCAGCTCCTTTCTGGAATGCATTTGTGTCCTATTTGTTAGCACAAGTTTTATCACCATCAGGGTTAGACGGATTTGTCTTTTTATGAGAAAAATTCTTTGATATGATGTTGGTTCCTCCCTTTCTTGGCTTCTGTAACCAGCTGAGAATTCTGACCTGAATCAAGCTACTAGCTAATTTGGTAGTTTGTATCTAAAGATACATATCATTTGAGGGGTAAGAAATAAGCAAAGTAGTGTTCAAATAATTGCTGCTTGAAGCTTATGCAACATCTAGTAGTCTTTGAAGCTTATATCAGTCTAACCCTATGCATCACTGCTACCTCAATAAGTGTATAACGTCCTCACATTGCCTATTTAAAGCCTCCACTGATGCCCAGCTGTTGCCCTGTAAATGAACCCGGAGGTCTTTCACCTTTAAGGCTCGTTTTTATTTTTATCTCCCACTAGATCCACAATAAGCTCCTCTTTCCCTCCCTTTCTGTTGTTCAAAGGCAACCAGCCAGCTGACGACACCACCCTGTTCATCTTCCTTTTCTCGTCATCCATTCACCCTTTCATTTCTCCCTCCTCTCACGCCCCTAATGCGCCCCCAATTATAATCTGTACATCTCATCCTTCTATTTCACCCCATAGTAGAGCCTGGACCTGCAGTGCCGGCGGCTCCTCTCCTGCAGCTAGAGAAGTGCTGCACTAGGAACAACAGCGCCACCCTGGCCTGGAGGGTAACTGCGCCCCCTGCCAGCCCCATCGAGGGGTACATCCTGGAGCTGGACGACGGCAACGGAGGACAGTACAGGGTCGGTACCTCACGAAAACACATACTAAGTCACAATACATACTGTGTGGACATGCCACTAATATGACAGTAATCCAATTAAAATGCAGCTGTCACTGCTTTTTTATTTTATTGTTAATTATCCATATGCTGCTCAACTCTGACAAAGGCAGATAATAGTTTATGTGTGTTATTTTTGTGTCATCAGTGGTTACTCGTCTTTACTTATACATGATTCCATGTATACATTTTATATGTTTAAGCAATGAACATACATGTGAATGCACTGAAAGAAGTATTTCACCTATTCCTACTGTCTATGCAGTAGAAAGGTGCAAATACTTTTGAAACTGGTGCTACATGACCAGAGAAAACAAGAGACAGAAAAACCTACAGCTACCAGAATGCACTGCACTGGACCAATAATAGCTCCCGCTGGTGGGTGACATAATTTTAGCTTGTATGTTTGACACATTTGAAAACGGTCTCATACTTCATACTTACTTAAATGGTAAGCTAACATATGTTTCTTAAAACATTTGAGGTGAGAAAAAAGCAACTCAGTCACAGAATCTTGGTTTATATTTGATCAGCTCAGGGTACTTTTACCGTTTGATTCCAGTTTTATCAGCCTCTGTTTTCACTACGCAGAAAACAGTATCGCACAGAATTCCACAAACTCTTCCAATTACAGCTAAACAGTGTACTAAGATATTTTCTGTTGACATTTTAGGTGAGAAATAGACAACGCAGTTACGAAATCTCGGTTTATATTTGGTCCTGCTTTTGGACCTACTCCAGAGAAGGTCCATCTCCAGTGTGGCTTGGCGTGACACGGCGCATCCAAACTGATATTAGAAACACAAATCGGCACTGCATGGCTTTACTCGGAGCTGCCAGTACTGACAAAGGAAAAAGGGTATTTATGTCCATGGTGGCGGCATTGGTGACAAGCAATACAATAATGCAGAAGTACAATCTGTAATTCGTGCAACAGCCCCAGAGCCAGTTTTGCGGTATCTGACACTACTGAGCTAGGAGATGAGTAGGGAGATCCGGGTGCTGGTAGAATGGAGGGAAGTTTACCACAGTTCATTTACACATACCACCAAAATTGTTATGATACAAAGCTGGTTGAAAATTGGTGAAGTGTCCCTTTAAACTGCTTTTTTAAATGATGCTACTGAAATGTGTGTGTGTGTCCTCAGGAGGTGTACGTGGGGAAGGAGACGGTGTGTACGGTGGACGGCCTCCATTTTAACAGCTCCTACAACGCCAGGGTGAAGGCCTACAATGCCATCGGTGTGGGGCCGTACAGCAAGACTGTGGTGCTCAAGACCTCGGACGGTAGGCTGTGTGTGTTTGTGTGTGTGTGTGTGTGTGTGTGTGTGTGTGTGTGTGTGTCTGTGTGTGTGTGTGTGGATATCTGTGTGTGTGTTCTAACTTTGCATCCAGTTTGCATCAGATTGGCACAGACAGGCTGAAAAAGGAAAATGTCCATCTCCTTTAGGATATTGTTTCTTGATTGTCTTGATGTGTTTTCCAACAGAGTAGTTTTGTTAGCGGTGATCTTGAGCTTCTGGTCTCTTGACACAAATAAAAGGTTTCTATGCAGGATTGTCAGTTTCTACATGTAAACATTCTTGCTAGCGAAAATGAAACTTAAAGCCAACCCCAGATTTACTCGTTTGGCGTTTCGCCTCGCTGTATTTGCATTTTTCTTGGTGCTATCTCTCTCGGATGTCCACTGCCTACGGTCTGGCACCTGGTCGCTACCTTTTAGAAAGAAAAACTGTGCATAGTATATCTTTAATTTGTATCATCTAACATCAGTACGACAAACTTCTAAGATAATGAGTGTTGAGGCTTTTTAAGGGTGAAAATGGAAGAATAAAAGGCATAGAGTGCGTTATACGGACGGTGAAGAGAGGAGAAGAGAGTGGATGAAAAGAAAGGAAAGGAGTACAGGAAAGGAAAGAAAGAAAAGAGAGAAGTCGAAGGGGAGAAGGAAGGAAAGGGAGGGAGACAAAAGGAAAGGAAGGGAGAGGCAAAGGGAAGGGAAAAAGGCAAAATAAAGGGGAGTAGATAAGAAATAAAGGAAAGGGATTGGAAAGGACAAAGGAGGGCAAAACAGGAGAGAAAAAAGGGAGAAAAGGAGAGAATAGGTAAACAACAAAGCAAAGGAAAAAGGGGGTAGACAAGCAAAAAGGGAATGGAAAGGAAGAGAATGGACAAAGAAGTAGGAAAGGAAAAGTGATGTAAAGAGGAGGAAAGAACGAAAAGGAAAGACAAGTAAAGTAGAAGAGGGCAAAGGAAAAGAAAGGAAATGAAAGGAGTCAGAGAAAGAAGGACACAAAAAAGGAACCATGACAAAACCTTGTATAACTGCAGTGGGCTGAGGGTGGAGAGTCACACTGACTGACACACACTGTCTCACTTTGCCAGCCACTAACAACAATGGACATTAGTCTGTTTTCTGACTGATAACCGCTCATCCCTCCCGCCCTCTTCCTCTTTTTCTCTCTGTCATCTTTTTTTCTTTGCCAACTCGCCCTCTCTCTTTCTCTCACCCCTCATCGCCACCTCCTTCTCTTTCCTCGAGGACTATAGCGTCCTACAGCTACATGGAGAGAAAAAAAGGGATGTGACTCGACTTGTTGGCATGACGAGTGAATGAGCAGGCATTAGGGGCAGTCGCTGCGACACAAACACTGATTTTTATGTACAGTTTCTTAGTATGATCCTGTGTGTGTATGTATATTGTATGTGTCGCAGGTTATTTAATGATGCAGCATATGGCTGTAGCTTGCTGATGAAGCATTTCTGTCCCCAGGCCTGGATAGTAAATGTGTTCCTGATGTTTCAGCCTGTAGTGTGTGTGTGTGTGTGTGTGTGTGTGTGTGCTTTTACCCTGCAGCTAAACTCACTCACACTCTGGCCGGAAGGAACCAACTGTTAATACATGTGTTATGTTATTATTTGACTGTTAGCTATACTGCATATTGTCACAAAACATCAAATTGATGTGAATATTGGTTGACTATATCTATTGTTGGTGAGAGATACAACTGAAGAATTCTGTTAATTATTTATTTATTTATTCTTTAAAGATATTTTTTGGGCCATTTTGCCTTTAATGGACAGGACAGGTAAGTGTGAAGGGGGGAGAGAGAGAGGGGATGACATGCAGCAAAAGGCCACAGGTTGGATTCGAACCCGGGCCGCTGCGGCAACAGTCTTGTACATGGGGTGCCTGCTCTACCACTAAGCCACTGACACCCCATTCTCTTAATTATTAATCCAGTTTAGCAGCATATCCATATCCAATTACTTCTCATCTGAATGAAGAGAGGCTGAATTATTTCTTGTTTATCAAAATGAATTAATGAAGGGAGCTGCAGAGTGTACATTTACCCTCTCCTTTCAGTTTTCTTAATCATAATTTGTCTAAATTATAGGGATTGTGCAACAGTGAATTGCTGCTTTGGCAGTTTTTCCCTCATCATCTCAATCAAGTTTCACGTTATATACACATAATATTTTCTCTAGCCATGGCAACATAAGTGACATGGCATGATATAGTGATTAAGAAAAAGATTATCATTATAACAGGATGTTAGAAATATAGCGCATTTTTGTTCCTCAGTGTGGCTTGATGAAAAATGATTATTGAGCACTGTCAAGATGATGCAGAGCTGGGGTTGGGGACCAAGCAGAGAGGCAACAATGACACAGAAGTTACTGACAAAAATTGAGGGTTTTTATTTACCCAAAAAAATGCATGAAAAATTTCAAACCAAGAGATGAACAACTATGCCTATAAAAGAGGTCAACATAACATAACTATACTCAATATTGTTGCTAAACAAGGTGTTAACTGAACAAACCTGACCTGTCCAAACGACACACGAGGGAGCATATATTGGCTTGGCCAAACCAAATAGAAGAGGTAAACAAAATGGATGGCAACTACAACTAAAACCAAATCCTCCCTATAACATGGCAGCACATGGTTTTATCCAATGAGCTAGCTCCAGGATTTAAGAGTCCTCAGCCCTCAGCCACACCTTTTGCTCCACCAGGAAGTGACCTCCCCAAACAACCACTGTAACTAAAAGACGAAGAAAGAGGTGATTCATGTCAAAGACTTTGCCTGTGCAACCCTACAATGTTAGAATGTACGATGCGATGCGATACGATACGATACGATATACTTTATCATCCCTGTAGGGAAATTTGTCTTTGACTTAAGTGCTGTGCACATTGCCTGCTTCCACAAAAAAAACAAAAAACACATCACACATAAATACACAACCATACATACATTAAGAGGGCACTATGGCACTATTGCTTAACCCTAACAGGCTATTTACTATTTAGGATATTAATTGAGATAGGCACAAAGGAGTTTTTAAACCTATTCAGTTTACATTTGGTTGCTCTGTATCGTCTTCCAGATGGTAAAAGTTCATACTCAGAATAAAGGACGTGTGATGGGTCAGATAAAACTCTCTGAGCCTGCCCAAGAACAGACTGCTCAAAGTTTAACTTAAACTATGTAAGGTTAAAAGCAAATAAAGAGATTCTAAATCAAACCAACTGTGTGATGTGAATTGTTTAGGTATGGCTGACCATAAATGAAGGTAGATAACAAACTAATGAGTTGAAAGAGTGTGGATTGGGAAGACTTTACCATATGTGGCTGTGACCATCACAGCTGGTAAAATGACATTACAATATGCTTTGGAAAACTCAGGTGTAAAACCAGTTTGTGTGGGTGTTGACTGACTACATGGGTCAGAAAGGTGGCACAGACTTTTAGAAACTACTTCTTCTGTCTTTTTTGATAACTTTCCAAAACGATGAAAGCTAGCAGGCAGATGTGGCATCATGACCGAGTGTTTTTTCCTTCCCACAGTGGCTTGGTTCTCCTTCGACCCCACCACAGCTCATCGGGACATCGTTCTGTCAAATGAAAACCAAACAGTCACCTGTAGCAGTTACGATGACCGTGTGGTGCTGGGAACTGCTGCTTTTTCCAAAGTAAACACTCACTGGTTATATTATAGATCAGATTTCTTTCTTATGTGAGTGAGCAGGTGACTTAAATGACTTTCAACACAAAGATTAATAAACTTGATTCTAATTCGATATGAATCTCAGGGGATTCACTACTGGGAGGTCAGCATCGATCGCTATGACAACCACCCAGACCCTGCCTTTGGCGTGGCGAGGATCAACACCATGAAAGACATGATGTTGGGGAAAGATGACAAGGCGTGGGCCATGTATGTGGACAACAATCGCTCCTGGTTCATGCACAACAACTCCCACACCAACAGGTAGGTGTATACTATAGTCTGTGATTTTTAAGGCCAGTGGTAGGATGTGGATGGAAGCTATAGTTCATATTAGGTGTTTTAGGACCAAGCAGTTCTGGGGACTTTTGAGAGGAACTACACACTAGGCAACTCCCTTGAAAAACTCCATTCCTGCTTTTTAGCATTTGGATCTGATTGAGAGGCTAAGGACACTATCCGCAGACAGCCTGTCACTCAGAGCAGCCCACCCTTAATTATCCGTACCTGTATGCCTTAATAAAATGAAAGCGGATGTGTAGCTGTAGAGACTGAAACTGCCAGGTGGTAAATATGTTTATTTCTGCTGTAAAGATGGGCATTTTAACATGGGGGTCTGGGGGTACCACTTGGAGTGAGCCTCTAGTACCATTCAAGGAACTATGGGTTTTGGCACTTCGGCATTGGCTTCATTTTTCAGCCCTGGACATTACCTCTTGGCTTTGAAGAGTCAACATTGCATTGTATTTCCACCGATGCATATATGCTCAGTAAAGCCTCAACTTAGTGTCTTTTTTGTTGTCTCTTGTCTACACAGCTAATGGGTTTTTAAAAATGGTGGGTCCTGGTGCTAGATTGTCTCATGTGTTCAACCAATCACCTTACACTTGCTTCATTCATGGTTCCTCTTGAGGTGGAGTACCTTCTCTTAAATAGGAGCCTTAAAAAGTAGAAGGAGGACAACGACTACCTGATATTAGATTTTTACTTACCGGTACTAATCATGCATACTTTCTAAGAGGTTTTTAAGTTAAAACTACGTACTTGATGTTAAGGTTAAAAAGGTCCCCTCTGTTGATGTTCTTATACACCACACAAACGTCCTCAGCAGAAGTGAGGAAAATATCGGAGAAGGTACGGTCATGGTGACAGTGACAGTGTTCGAGGAGACAGAATTTGGCTATTGAAGTCACTGGGGAGGACACTGCACTCTCACTTCCACCCGTCATATCGTTTTTGTTCCAACTTTGACCAAAAAATCTGTCCACCAGATTAAAAAACACACATTATGTAATGTTTACTGACATTTTATTTTTAAATCTACATATGGACATTTGTTGTCCTTGTTATTGGTGTCCAAACAGATCATGGCTCTGTCCAGCAGAGGTTAAGATCCTGCTGACACCAAACTCTGGTTCCTCGAATGCTGTCACTATTGTTGTGACTGTTCCTCCCTTTATGTTTACCGTGGTGTAGTATAATACAACAGCTACAGAGGGGACCTTTTGAATCTAATATTAGATTACAATTACACAATACGTCCATCGGCTGAGGGAGATTGTGTAATACAGTTGAAGGCTCCAGAACAGCTACTACTTAACTACTTTTGTTAAGTGTTATTTCAAAGGTCAAGAATGACCTTTCAGTCTCAGCTTTGTTAATGGTATATGAATAATGTAATAATGCTTGTATGCGTCAGTTATAAACCATTTGTAAAAACAACTTTTGAATTGCCAGGTTGTGAAAATCCAACCAATATGTATTTATTGAAGACTTTAATATAAGATAAGATAAGATAAGATAAGAAAGGATAAGATGGTACTTTATTGATTCCAAACTGGGAAATTCTTCTTCTTAAACATTGGTAGATTATACCATTTAATTAATGGAACACTCCTTTATTAAAAACTCTGTAACGTTTGTAACTGCGGACCTGATAGCTTATTATAAAGTTGAAGCTCACAATCCTTTATCAATATTGTACTCACTTTATAATAGGTTAAGTCTGCAGCTATGAATGTTGGTAAATTATTTACTTGAAGAATCCATCATCATCAAGTCCACACTTTAAGTGTTACCACCAGCTGAGGTTTTTTTTTTAACAACCTGAAACTCAAAAGTTGAAGGTACTGACATTTAAAAAAATTATAAAATTATTTAATAACAAAAATGCCAACTTTTGAACTTGTTTGCCTTATTAAGAAATGGTCCTCATCTTTTGAACTTGTATGTCAATAAGCACAGCAGGAGGCACTCTCTTCTTCCATTCATTAGGTGTTGTGCATTAAATCTCACACAGCAAAGGACACACACACACACACACACACACACACACACACACACACACACACACACAGGATAATGATACATACACAGGATGACAGAGGGACCCCAGGGGCTCATACAATACCGACTAACAAACACACCAGGGAGCAGCAGCAGCCTGCAGGAGACATCAAAACATCTCTCTGCACCATCTCTCTTAGTGTCACGCCGACACTATCAAACCCTCATTAAACATTTATTTACAAAAATACGTCTATACTTCAGAGGGAAGAAGTCGACATTTCACAGGAATAATGTGAACCCTCTGACTTGTCTTTCTCTACCTTGGTCCGTCCAGACTGCACATTTATTCCTTGTGCCGTTTGCTTTCATGTCGTTAATCATCTCATGTCTGTATTTCAGTGTTATTTACCACATATTGATTCCTCTGTCTCTCTCAGAGCGCTGACTCTCACTCAGTCCCGAGGCAGGTGTCATGTGTTTGAATCATGGCTATGTGCCTGCTTACATGTATAAGGGTGGTTTCACACCTTTGCTTCTATGCAAAAACACAATTTCAGTCCCACAGTGGGTCCTTTAGCATAGAAGGAAACATCTGTAGTGTTCATTTAGTGTCCATTTTTGTCACTCTTTGAACTGACTACGGGATTTCAATTTGTCCATCTGTTGTGTGTGTGTGTGTGTGTGTGTGTGTGCGTATAGGGCGGAGGGAGGCATCACTAAGGGCTCGACCGTGGGCATCCTGCTGGACCTGACCAAACACACACTGACTTTCTACATCAACAAGGAGCAGCATGGTCCGACTGCCTTTGAGAACCTGGATGGTGTCTTTGTACCCGCTGTCAGCCTCAACAGAAACGTGCAGGTCAGTGTGTGTGTGTGTGTGTGTGTGTGTGTGTGTGTGTTGGTATATGATGTGTTCTTTAGCATGTATGAATAAGCAAACTGTGATAAACTCAGCTGGGAACGTATTTTAGTTGACACCAGAGCTGCCAAGACTACTCACAGAAGTGTCAAAGATGCTGAATTTTGAACAAATGCAGCGTTATATTCTCAGCTTTTAGTTGTGCACTTTGGAGTCACACTCTTGGATGTGCTAATGTTACAAATACTGGTGAAATAATTAATCACTAAGGTTATCAACAAGAAATGATTCAAAGCAAAACTGCTTCCAGCATATTAATGTGAGGATTTACTGCCTGTTCCTGTTTTATGTCACCGTGAACTGAATATCTTGAATAAACAAACAAATTGAAAACATCACCTTGGGCTCTGAGAACGTGTTAGAGCCAAACATCAGTCACAGGGCTGGTTTATGTTCTGCTGCTGCAGCATTCAGTGTCCCCTTATTTCCAAAATACTAAAGGTGTGAACCTTGTTGCAATCTGTTTGGCTGCTTTTAATGCTCCAAAGCACTCGACTGAAGCACTAAGTTGTGTTTGTGACATCTGAACTTGGAAGTGGGAGTTTAAGAGGAGCACTTGAAGGCAGCAAACTACCTATTTATCTTTCTCCAACTAGTGCTGCACAAGTTTGTAGCTCCATAAATATTTACAGCCAAAGGAATGTCAGCTGATATACTCTCTGGCTGTTTTCTAACACAAATAGTGAATAAAACAGTGAATTTTTGGTAGAATTAATATTTATTAACATTACAAATGATCACATGATTGGCTGATTAGTTATTTGCGTTAATGAGCAGTTGTACAGGTGTACCTAATAAAGTGGCCGGTGAGTGTATATTACTACAACAAGAAAAGTTTTATATAATGACAATAAATTATTTCATAATAATAACAAGATGAATAGAATAATGTTCTAACAATAACATTTTCTTGTTATACCGTGAAAATATCTTTAAAACGTGGAAAACATCTTGTCTCTGAACTTTTCACTTGATACTGATCTGTTTTTTCTTCTGGTGTGGCAGCAGAACGCCACCATACATGTTTAATTATATATGAAAAATTACAAGTTTGTTATTTGGGGGCAGCAGTAGCTCAGTCCATAGGGACTTGGGTTGGGAACTGGAGGGTCGCCTGTTCAAGTCCCCGTCCGGACCAAAAATATGGAGCGTGGACTGGTAGCTGGAGAGGTGCCAGTTCACCTCCTGGGCACTGCCGAGGTGCCCCTGAGCAAGGCACCGAACCCCCCCAACCGCTCAGAGTGCCTGTCATGGGCAGCCCACTCTGACATCTCTCCACTTAGTGCATGTATAGGTCCAGTTTGTGCATGTGTGTGTTCAGTGGTAGAGAAGCAGCTCCTGTATTTAGCATCTAGTTAAATCACTGTTTCTCTTAATGGAGTCTGGCTATAAAGACAATAATACCTAGAACTACATATTGGCTTACTTTTCCAGTTGGAAATCACTGTCTGATGTTAAGGTGATGCAGTGACAATACTACTATAAATATAGTGTACACTTTAACTGACGTTGGTTGTTTTAGATGGGACTTATTTTATGTGGTTAAAAAACGTTTTGTTGCTGACCCATCCACAGCAGTACATTGCTTAGCTTCAATGTCAGACTCCAGCCTGCTTCTCCAAACTGGGGGTGTGCCAACTGACATCTACTATATGCAATATACTGATGGGTATCCTGTACAAACCCACTTCAAAAAAACACTATCCCTTAAATTCAAGTATACACTGACTATGGCTTAATCCAGCTAGCTGCCAAATGAATGCTAGCTAAGTCCAACTCATTGTCAACAGTGTTTTAAAAACTCAAGTGTTCACATGTGTCTTACCTAAATTAAACTACCCGTGTGTTCCCCAGATGAAGCTTAGCAATTATGCATGTCTCTTCAGTCTGTCCTCAGTCTCACTGAGTGTTTGCTCTGTTTGTCCCTTGCAGGTGACCTTAGTGACGGGCCTGGAGGTGCCAAAGAATACCAAACAGTAGGAGATCCCTCCTCCCTCCGAGCGCGCTGAGATACAAACCAACGATGTCATATGCAGTTCGCTCCCACGTGAACCTTATCCAGTCACATCAGATGGGATTTACCCGTCTCCCATTCGTCTCAAGGTGCCCTTTGTCTTGGATATACTTCAGTGTGAAACCCTGCTCCATAATTTGCAACAAAGGATTAAAATCTGGGTTATTATTGGCTATACATGATGATTGATGATGGATGTCACAACAGAGATGACGGGACTTACTGTGGATCGCCATACTTTTTTCATATCCCAGTTTTTGCCCAGGATACTAACACAAATCTTATTATTCCAGCTTGTACCTTCCAGAAATTTTAACAAAAAGGAAAATGCAGCCTGAAACCTCTCCTGGAGGCCTGAGACTAAAATAATCAACCCTCTCACTCTGACAGAATCAATGGTAAAGACTCCCACACTGTGCAGTGAAATGATGTTGTGCTTCAGTTTCTCTATTTGAGATTTTCTGAGCTTTTTAACGATTAATTTAAAGTATAAAAATAACATCACCATCAGTTTTAAAAAGTCCACAACAACGAGGTGCTTCTGGGAGGCGAGGGAGAAACGATTCAGCAGTGCTTATTGATGCTTCTCTCTCAGGTGTCTTTACAGCTGTCAAGGTAAAACCAGATGAAGGGAGTGTTTTGTAGGGGTTGTTGCAGCACCGTGGGATGTTTCAGTCATGAAATATTTAAAAGCTACGCTTTCGGTGCACATTTTTATCCCAGTTGTGGCTCCAACAACACTACCTTCTCTGTTTTTTTACTTTTTCTCTATTGCATACAAAGTGGCATAAAGATTGTTTGGTGCTGCTGTCAAAGTGGTTTACACACTGAGGTCAAAAGCTGGGAAGGATTGGGCTCAATTCCATTTCATTTTTCAGTAATGTGACAGATCTGCTGTCTAAATTTATTTTGGTGCAATTTTTTTTTGCAGTCAGTGGTGTCTTGATTAGGATTGTTTGGGGGATTTTAAGTGGCTGTCATCATAATTTTTGAAAAGGGAGAAATTAAGTTGAATTTCTGGTAGACTGGGATTTCACAGTCACAGTTTATTTACCCTACGTCTGTCTGCCTCAGTTGGTTGAATAAAAGGGAAAGATTCAGCAGAGACCAAATGAGGTGAGCCGCAAACTTAATTTTGCCTCCTAAACTGGTTAAAGGTTTACACTTTTTATGGCGATAGCCGTGGCCGGAAGCATTATGTTTTCGTGTTGTCCGTCTGTTCATCCGTCCCATTCTTGTGAACACAATATTTCAACTATGCCTTGAGGGAATTTCTTCAAATTTGGCACAAATGTCCACTTGGACGCAACGATGAACTAATTTGATTTTGATGGTCCAAGGTCAAAGTCACTGTGACCTTGCATCTGTCTCATTCTTGTGAATGCAATATTTAAGAAGGCCTTACGTAAGTTTTCTCAAATTTGGCACAAACGTCCACTTGGACTCAAGAATCAACTGATTAGAACTTGGTGGTTTAAGGTCAAAGGTCACTGTGACCTCACAAAACATGTTTTTGGCCCTAACTCAAGAATTCTTAAGCTGATTATGACAAATTTTTACACGAATGTCTAATAGAATATAACGATGAAGTGATGACATTTTATATTCAAAAGGTCAAAGGTCAACCTCACTGTGACATCATAATGTTCTGCAAAAACACTTTTCTGGCCATTACTCAACATCATATCTCAGGAACAGAAGGGGAGACATTTGGGCAGATGCTGAAGTGGTGCCACTAATCTTGGGTGTCCATCTTGAAACTGTGCTGACTGTATAGATTTTCTATGCTTTCACCATATTTTCACAGACATGGATGTAAACTGAAACTATAAACTTTGCGGGTTCGTGGAGGCAAACAAGCACGAGTCGATAATTCTAGTTTTACCTTTTGACAGAGTCAGGCTAGCTGTTTCCTCATTTCCAACAAGGACATTATAAAGAGGAGTCGTCGTGGCGTAAATCAGGTCATATTATTGGAGTACAACACATAAACTGGGAACATGGGGATGATTAATTCCACTGAGGCTGAGGCATTGGCAGTTGGCGCTGAGTCAGAATATATTTTATACAAAAAATGAAGATATGGGTGAGAATAACAATTCTGCCATTAGTGAAACATTCCTTATAAAAGCCCATAAGCAAATGCTGTCAATATGAAAATGTTCTATTGTAGGTCAGCTGCCATCCGTTCAAGCCTAGCCAAAAAGTTCTCTAAGGCCGAACCCACCCAAGGAGGATTAAGAGAGCGCAGCCAAAGAGCACCTGAGTGGACACCATTTTTGTATTTCTAGCAATGTCTGCCGTAACCCTCCAACATCGCAGCTCCAGTTACGTTGTGCATGTGTCATACCCCAAACCTCCACGGCATCAAAGACTGTGTCCTAGCCTTCATTGAATAGCCTTGATTTCCACTCTTTATGCTAAGCTAAGCTGACCAGTTTATGACCAGATATTAGCTTCATTTTTATGCTACAAACATGAGAGTGGTATCAATCTTCTTGTCTAACTCATCTAATAAGCGTATTTTACAAAATGTCAAACTATTCCTTTACAATTATAGAAAGAACAGACTGCTACATTTCCCTACAAATGTAAAAATTAAGTTTCTCTTTGGATTATTGACTCAAATGCATGCTAGCATGTACAAACAGTGCACAAAGGGCTTGATAACGCTGTATAAAAAGCAAGTGAAAAGGGAGTAGTTCATATACAGAGGACCTACACAGCAAAGTCTTAGTGTTTAAGAGCTTAAATGACATCAGTTCCAATTTCGAGTCTGTCATGTTCCTCCAGTCTGACATATTTGCTATTAGCAATATGCATTGCATGCCATAAACTAAATTCATTCATTCATTCATTGATTCTCGGAGTGACTGAAATTAGTTTCTTCGGGAATTAAAATCAGATTTACCGCTTAACATCCAGTTTTCCCACTTTAATTCCCCTTAAGTAACTGTAAGGTTAAAATCCTCTTATTCACCCTGACTGACAGCATCATTATACTCTGCATACATTATATTCCCAAGACTCCATGTTTTATCTTGTGTATCATGTTATAAACATTTCCAAACATTCAGTCCGGCATATTTTTGTAATCTTTGAGATCTCCACTTGAATTTTAAATTAAGCTCTCTGGGGTTGAATAAACACGAGGGCTTGTGTTAATTTGGGTGCCAAAACTACAAAATGGTGTGCAAACAGTTTGTACCTTGTCCTGCTGAATGAATCAAAATGAAGGAACAAGGTTGATTGGTCACCTGCAGGAGCATTTCCTGCCTCCATGTTTTCCCTGCAGCCTCTCCCAGGCTCACAATCACATTTATCTCAAGAGGAAATGTTTTCACCTCGAGGGATGAATGTCCGAAGATGCTGAAATGAAATGGAACTGAGCCAAACCTTATTTTGTCCAACAGCCACTATAATACATCAGAAGTCGATGAGAAAAGTGCGGTTGTCTCATGGTAATTTTATTCTGTGCTCATCACTCAGTCTCTCTGTAGATATCCATTTCAGGCACCTTTAATGTGTCGGGCTGAAAATGATCTTGAAAAGTCACATCAGGTAAAGGTTTGCTGCTACACTTCTCATCAGGGATTGGATATGGCAGCCTGTAGAGGACAGTAGCTTCGAAATTCAACCAAACCACTGTGACTACGGATATCAGATGTTTTACCACACATTACCCATGTGGATTTTATCTCGAATGCAGCAGAGGATGGAGAAGTTTGCTTCTGAATTCATTTAATATTTATTATGATATGTGAAACATTTCTATTCCCTATAACGTTGTGAGTGTGAGAGACACACCTGCCATACAAAGATTGGGTTTACGTGTGAGTGAAGATCCACAAACAAATGTAAATAGTGACATGTGAGTTATGATTATGACATGTGATATTAAGCATGGATTAAGCGTCGAACAAGTTTACAAAATATCTGAAGCTGTACTGTAAATAGTGTACTGTATTACTGTCTTTGCAATGAGTGATGTTAAAGCCAACTGCTACGACAGCTCGCCCTCTGCTGGTGGACGGTAGCGACAACAGGATTGATGAACTGATCCTCTTGTTACATTTAACCGACTGTGTTTTCAGACCTTTAAATGCTGACTTTAAAAAAAGCTGTCGGCAAACGTGTTGCCTGACGAGCTCCTACTATAACTTGTATCATCAACTATCTCATGATATTCAAACATTTAATCAGGGACATGAAATAGCAGTCATTTACATTTCTACAGGTTTTTATATACGTTTACAGATTATTATGAATGCAGGCAGCACTTAAATGTCACCTAACACAACATATTTAATTTAAATTATTAGTTCCACACAAACTTTAAATATGCCAGGTGACTGAACAGATATACAGTAAATAAAAGTAGGTATTTCTTACTGGAATTAGTGACGTCTATTTTCAATACAACAGCAGAAATATTATAAAATGTGTTAGTCTGTGGTTACCTTCTGTTTAAATTTAATTGTAGACCACTAGAGTAGTAATTAGTGATACTTAAATGATAGGTAAATATTACCCTTCTTTTTATTTCATGTTTTAATTATCAAAGACAATGGAAATGTGGATGGGATTATGTATTTTTTATGAATCAAAACTCTTACCTAGATTGTTTTCCCATTTGCACCCCAGAACAGCAAACGGCAGGTATATTAGGCCACCATTTTGATATGTCAACTACAGCATCTTACCTGGGTTTTTGCACTTGATGCTGCATTCAAAGTTTGTGGGAAAGTTCACACCTACAGTTTTATATTAACAATTAGGGCTGGGCGATATGTAGAAAATCAGATATCACAATATTTTTGCCCATATTCCTCAATATTGATATTGCGACGATATTGCAGGGTTGAATATTGGTGCTTTCACAAAATATTTACACAAGATTTTCATTCAGTTAAATCACTTAACTGAAACGCAGCCCTTAAAACCAGGAAAAGACAACACTTGAGATATTATGATATTTAATCTATTGGGGACGGCAGTAGGTCAGTCCACAGGGACCTGGGTTAGGAACCAGAGGGTCGCTGGTCCAAGTCGTTCGTAGCAGGTATAGACTGTGGACTGGCAGCTGGAGAGGTGCCAGTCCCCCTCCTGGGCACTAAACCCCCAACTGCAAGCCCCCCTTGCTTTGACATCTCCACATTTAATGCATGTATAGGTCCTGTCTGTGCATGTGTGTATTCCGGGCCTGTATGTATATGACTAGAGTGATAAAAACTGAATTTCCCCTCGGGGATTAATAAAGCATATCTTCTTCTATTAAAATCTAAGATGATATTGAGTCTCATATCATGACATTGATATAATACTGATACTGTACATTGCCCAGCCCTAATAACAATAAATCAAATGACTGTGTAATTCTGCAGTTAATGTTGGCTTCATGGAGCGTTTTAGCATCTTTCAGCTCGTTGTTTTGGCCTTTAACTTTACTGTTTTGGTTCACTCTCATTGCTCACATAGCATCGTTTTCAGCTGCAGCTGTTTTCAGTGAAATAGCTCTAAAACCTGCTGTACACTACCTGCTCAGCTCCAAACAGCTGACAGATAGAGTAAGTGACAAGCTGGTGAACTTAGCATTCAGCAGCTGAACCAGATAGTTATCTCAGAAGGTTGGTGGGTAGCCAAAAACATAACATAAATACGTGATAATGCGCTATGTCTGCTGGATGTGTAAATAGATTGGTAATTTAAAAGGTGACGAGAGTACTGCAGGATAAGTCCTAAAACCTGGAACTGAGTTTGCATTTTAGCACTCCTGGTTCCCATGTCTTTAAGTCAATGGATTTTTTAAATGTCAGAGTCACCTGAAATAAGGTCTGTGGTTAACACAAGCTTAAGAGACTTTCACGTTGTGTTCTACAATATAAAATATGTCGGCAAATACCCTTATACTCTATTTTGAAGCTTGTTGGTGTCTTAAAAAAGATGGTGGCCTCATTTTGGTGACGACGTTAAAGTCATGAGACCATGGTCTAATTTGTTCATAGCCTAACATTAGCTTTTTACTTGTAGTGATTGCATTACCCTTCAAAAAATTATAAAACTGGTGTTCATTTGTGAAGATTACCTTGCTGAACAAAATGTGTAAGTATCATAAACATTTGTTTGCCACAGAGCTTATTTTCTGCAGTACTCCAAAATCCAGTGGAAATATCCCATAGGTGTTTTTGTGGAGGGAACCAGGGGGGCGCCAACTTCTGCGTCAGCCCATAAGAAAACATAAACCTACAGCACTCTGTATGTCAGTGTTGTCCCAGCTTTGTTTCTGCTGCCCCCAAGTGGCCAGAAAATGCAGGTATTTCATTACAAACAACAAATAAGGAAATAAAATCCAAAGAAAATTAATTAATTTGAAATTTAGTGACCATCCACAATGTTCTTATTAGCATTGATATTTACCATCTTTCCCACATGACATGAATGCAGCATTAGTGTCAAAGCCAGGACTTGAACTAGTTTCCCTCGACCCAGAAAGCAAACATCTATCAGCCAAAGGGGAATTTTTCCTGACCTACCCCAGACTGCCAGCTTTCTGATGAAGGCCTGGGATGAAGCACTGCCCAGCTCCCTCTCAGTGCTTTTTATCTCTTCTGAGAAAAAACGCTACATGGACACAAGGCCTCAGGTCTACATTTGCATCA